AGGCTGAATTATAAGTCCAGTTATACATAATGCATTTAAACTACCCAGCACAACAGGACATGTATATACAGAGTCATGTAATATTTTATCTTAACAATAATAATACCACAGAGCTGGAGATGACACTGGAGATAATTTTCTTCTTTTCAGATGAAAAAGCTAAGGCCTAAGCATAAGCCCAAGGTGACACAGGATGTTAGCAGTAGGATGAGGATTAATACTCATGTCTCACAAGTTTGGGTATTTGTATTACAAGATACTCCCATAAGGGAGTGACACAGAGAAAAATGGACCAGGACTCAGTGATGCAGATGAGGGCCACAGGTTTGGTTCCGCATGCTTTAGGACCAGCGCAACTGTACTTCTGCACGGTAGAACTCAGTCCTTTAATAGTGGGCACTAGGGTCCTTCAACCAGCAAAATGACCCTTGGTAGTCTTCTAGGGAAGTCAGGACGATGGGGAGACCGTGATGGAGCTTTACTTCAATGCCAAACATGTCACTCTCAACTCACACCAGGTGTCTCAATGGTGAAGCTCCCACAGGTTTACCAAAGGTAAGAAAAAAGCCCCAGAAAGAGATGCTTAGGTGAGAGAAAATAGTACTCTCAAAACTAATACCAGAGAGTTCAACATTTTATGCCAAGCTCAGCAGAAGTTTTTGCGAAACATTAAGTATCAGGGTTTTTAATAAGCCCTAAAGAAATATGGGAGGAAAATCAGCAAGGGGGGAAAAACCACACCAAATATATGTAAAAGAAGGAAATAAATGAGGGTAAGTTCACCCATCTGGGACTCATCTTCTGCTTGGTGTTCTACGGGTACCACTGCTGGGCCTGCCTCTCCTACTGCATGACCTGTAGGCTTCCCGAGCGTGGGGTCACAGACATAGTCATCATGGGGAAATGCCTTTATCGGGTGTCTGCTTTATGAACACCTAAGCGATGAAATCTGCATAAACTAACCTCCCCTCCCCCATGATCCTGCCATTTCTCCTCTCTGGCAAGTTGGCTCTCATTGGCTGCCTGTGCGTTACTCACTTTTGATCATGTTCACGTCATTGGCCCCATCTCCAATGGCCAGCGTGATGGCCTTCTTGTACCTCTTCACCAGGTCCACCACCATGGCCTTCTGCTTGGGGGTGACGCGGCAGCAGATGACTGCGCTGCACTCACAGGCCAGGTCCACGAAGTTCTTCTGCCGCTGCTCTTTCTTAGCTTCCAGTCTCCTTTTACTCTGGGTCCGCATTCTTTTTTCTTCTTCTGTCCTCGGGAACTTCAGCTTCAGAATCTTACTTCTTTTGGTCTTTTTCTCCAGAAGAATTTCATTCTGTGTGAAATTGGAGAGGGAAAGGGTTACAATCATTTTAGTTTTTACACCAAGTCCAAATATTCCCAAGACTTAAATTATGTGAAGGATCATTCTTGGGTTATGTCATTGATTATGTTGTTCTGATTATAAAACATATTTACTACAAAAATTTAGAAAATGCAAAAATCTATAAAGAAGAAAATGAAAATTAGCCATTAATTGATAAGCCAGGATAATCACTTTCACCAGTTTGGTATAATTCCTTTCATATATCATATAATTTAAGTCTCAGACTTCAATCACACTTTCATATATAGGCAATGAGATTTTTAGGTTGGCAGTCCATACATAAAACCATCTAAACTAGGTCCTAAAAGGAACTTCTTTCCTTTGAGTCAAAGGCATGGATACACTAATGATACATACCAACCAAGAACCAGTGATTATTAAGGCACGGTTTCCACCAGTTGGAAAAAAAGGCTCATGCACAGGGGGTGCAAATTTTGCATAGACTCCACCTTTATTCCTTTGGTTTTCCATCCTTGTGTGAAGAAGAGAACTGGGGGAAAATAAATTTAAGTGTTTAAAGTACAAGAACATAAGTAGGCCCTTGACTATGAGGAAATTTTGACATATAATTTTTTTAAAATTGTGGCAAAAAACAAATAACATAAATTTACCATCCAAAACATTTTTAAGTGTACAGTTCAGTAGCATTAAGTATAGTCACACTGTTGTGCAATCTCCAGGACTTTTTCGTCTTGCACAACTGAAACTATACCCATTAAACAACAACATCCCATTTCCCCCTCTCCTAAGTCTCTGGTAACCTCCATTCTTTCTGTTTCTATTATTTGACCACTCTAGGTAACTCATATATGTAGAACCGTACAATATTTGACTTATTGGTGACTGGCTTATTTCACTTAATAATGTCCTTAAAGTTCATTTATTGCAGCATATGTCATAATTTTCTTCCTTCTTAAGGGTGAATAATATTCCATCGTATGGACACATCACATTTGTTTACCCATCCCTACATTGACAATCACTTGGGTTGCTTCTACCTCTTGGCTATTGTGAGTAGACATGCTTATGAACATGGGTGTGCAAATATTTTGTCGAGGCTGGCCAGGTGGCTCAGTTGGCTACGGCACAGAGTTATAACATGAAAGTCAAAAGGTTCAGATCCCTGTACTGGCCAGCTACCAAAAAACAAAACAAAACAAAAACCCAAATATCTTGTCAAAATCCTGCTTTCAATTCTTTTGAGTATGTGCCCCGAAGTGAGACTGCTGGATCATATAATCCTAATTTTATTTTATTATTTTTTTTTTTTTAAAGATGACCGGTAAGGGGATCTTAACCCTCGACTTGGTGTTGTCAGCACCACGCTCAGCCAGTGAGCGAACCGGCCATCCCTATATGGGATCCGAACCCGTGGCCTTGGTGTTATCAGCACCGCACTCTACCGAGTGAGCCACAGGCCGGCCCCGTAATTTTAATTTTTTTGAGGAACCTCCATACTGTTTCCATACTGGCTGCATCAGGGCTGGCCATTTAGCTCACTTGGTTAGAACGTGGTGCTGATAACACCAAGGTCAAGGGTTCAGCTCCCTGTGCTGGTCAGCCACCAAAAATATAAATAAATAAAATCGGTCAATCACTGACAGTGCACAAGGGTTCCAATGTCTTCAGAGTCTCACCAACACTCATTTTCTGTTTTGTTTTTTGTTTGTTTGTTTTGATAGTACCCATCTTGGGGACACTACATCCTTGGTACTTCATTGTTTGCCAAAGACACCAAAGGAAAATACAGCTGGAAATGTGTATACAAGCAACACAATCTCGATCTCAATTATAATGCCCTGGGCTACACCCCACTTTATTGACTGCTCTTGGGCAGAAGGAAGTTTATTTCCACATAAACAAACTTATGTCTGCTTTTGAGAAATTCTTAATGCTTTATATCAACAAATTACTCAGAAGATTACATATAACACTTTCATGTGATAGAGAAATGAGTCATGGAATTCAGAGTGGAAGGGCCCTTAAATATCTTGTGCAATCTCTTCATGATACAAATAAGAAAATTGAGCCAGAGAGAGGTGATAAAATTGCCTGCAGCAAGATGACAGGAAAACTAGAATAAGGTCTCCTAACTCCCAGCCCAGGACTCTTCCTGTCACACACACAGAACCATTATTCTTCACCTTCAAAAGCAGATTCTCAACCTTGGCACTATGGATGTCTTGATAATTCTTTATCGTACGTGCCTGTCCATTGCACTGTAGGATGTTTAGCAGAATCCCTGCCCTCTACCCACTAGAAGCCAGTAGCACCCTCCTCCCCAATTGTGACAATCAAAAATATATCTCCAGACATTGCCAAATGTTCCCTGGAAGGCAAAATCACTCCCCACTGTGAACCACTGCATTAGAGGACTGAGTGTTGAGTATCCTTTTTCCATATTAACCTAATTATCATTTTCAACTTAAAAGTGAGTGATCAAGACAAATCACTAAACGGCCAGAAGGGAAAAAAAAAAAATGAAGTTACCTATTCAAACCATTTTATAGGAATAATCATTTCAGGAACCATCTAGAAAGATAATTCATCTCTCTATAAAAGTAAACTTGGATAAGAGCATCATAAAATTGGCTGCCTGCATGAATTTTATCTTTTAATTTAGCTTAGGGCCCAATTTTTTTATTACTTTTAAAAGAGATCAGAAATTTATCAAGACTAATAATGACCATCAACTCCCTTATCATCTTAGGAGTGTATATGTTAACAGTTTAACTGACCTTGTGACAGCCTGAGAGAGGTATTATAAGGAAACAGCTTGAGGAATAAATGAAACTGTCAAGCCATCGGTAAACACAGCATGGTAACCGTATGCAGCACATTTATAGCTTCGTAACAAGACAGGGCTTTTCATTTTAAATTTCCAGGTCTGCTTCAACTCTGATTCAGGGCTAATGAACATTTCAGCATAAGCTAGGTTTGAAATGTTAAGGTCTGTCCCTCTAGACTAGACTACAGATGACCTACATGATGTAACCCACCCAAACATTTTCTTCCCAGCTAAGATTGGTTTGTTTCTTTCTTCTGTTTTTCTTTCAAAAGCTAAACTTCCTTGAAAAGGCAAAAGACACATATGATTCATGTTAATTTGCTAGTGATATCACAGGCTCACTTCCTTTTTCAGCAGATGAACACTGAGGACTTCCAAGAAATGGGGGAAAGTGGCCCCTGAAAGGCCTCAAATTTCCCTGAAATTAAAATCTGCTCAAAATAAGGCCGAACCATGATAACTTGGAATTGCCAGTTGTTCTCTTGCTTCATTTAAACACAGGTAAACTGTCCCAAGTGACATATTCTAGCTCCTGTTTCTCCTTATCTGCCATCTTCTCCATCTAGTCTTGTCGTCATAAGAATGAGCTAATATGTAATCCCCTACTACAGACTCTTCACTTACTTTATATCTTCCCCATAGCAGATAGTTGTGTCTTCAGTCAGAAGCTCACAAGCAAATCCTATATTTTCAGCAGTTTCTACAACAGAATAAAGTTAAGCCAAACGTCATTCCTACTGTTGAACTGTTTAATCAACTTTATCTAATAATGATGATTTTTAAAATTCACAAACATAACCAGATTCAACCAAATATGATATTTTTTATGCAGCGATGCGCAGAAATCGGAAGCTCACAAGCAAATCCTATATTTTCAGCAGTTTCTACAACAGAATAAAGTTAAGCCAAATGTCATTCCTACTGTTGAACTGTTTAATCAACTTTATCATAATGATGATTTTTAAAATTCACAAACATAACCAGATTCAACCAAATATGATATTTTTTATGCAGCGATGCGCAGAAATCACATAAAGAAAAAAATCTCTTTCTATGTAATAAAATAGGTGAAAGTCAAAGTCTGGCCTGAGATGTTTTCAATAATAAAATGTGCTATGTTTTTCAAATATGTAAACTGATTATTTAATAAATCAATGCTTATTAAAAAATGAAACACACTCAGCTCATGTGATTTAATCACAATGTTATAGGGGAAATAAAAGGATAACCATTTCCATCAACTGTCCCTCACATGGGGCTCCTACTAAAGGTATTTTTTCCCTTTTTCCATTACCACCCATTTAGTATTTATTTAAGGTCAGGGCTGTGCTTCCCTTAACTTATCAGAATGTGTAACCCATTCATGATGTCATTGCAAGAGATATCATCTGATTTCCTGTGGGAGGCTTTTGAAGTAGAGTGTCAACGCCAAACAGCTACTGTTGAACTCCAAATTTAAAAATTAAAATCTTTCCTTGGGTATAAAATTTTAATTATAATTTTCAAGCAATAAAATGTGCAAGAAAACAAAAAGTTGTTCAGCACTTTGCACTGTTCTACTTTATGTCCAACAGATGGCAAAGCACAGGAAAGACAGAAGGAACAGGGGACTGGCCCTTTCAGGACAGAAGCCCACATTTGGCTGGAGAGAGAAGACTAATTACAATCAGCAAGACAGGACCAAAAGCTAAATTTATAAGGAGTAAACTCTGCTTCTGAGGGAGTTCAGGGAAGGACACGGTCAGGGTGGGCTGGAATAACAGAGGAGGGTTTCTCAGAGAAAGCATTTTCCCTTCCAAAGAAATAGGGAGTGTTTGTACAGGATGGAAAGTCTGAGTAGGTCATCTTGGGCAAAGGAAATAGCAGCTATAAATATGTGTGAGCTAATAGATATGCTTCCCAATACAGTGAATTACCCTTTTTGTCTCCAGTAAGTACCCAGATCTTAATGTCAGCTTTTGCAAGTTTTGAAATAGTTTCTGGGACTCCATCCTGTAGCTTGTCTTCAATAGCTGTAGCTCCCAATAGCTGGAATGTACATTTGAAAAAAAAGGAATTAGCAAATAAACCAAAAATTGTTTATAATTACAGTTTTCCAACCTGTAAAAAGAAGGGCTAATTTAATATCCCACTTGTTGCTCTACTGGGGCCAATGGCCACTACTGACATGGAAAGCTGCCATGTTTCATGTTTACTGCAAACCAAAACAGCCAACAACTTTTTTCTTAAAGGATTAACTATTTGATTTACCGAGACAAAAATGCAAATACAAAATCAAGGACATTAAAAATATACTTTCACCATATCTTTGTTGCTTTTTCGGACATAAGCCAGTTCCCCTTGCTAAAGGGTAATACTACCTATTTATTTAACATTACTCATGAATCCAAACTCTACAGGCAATAGGTATTACATTTTTAAAAGTTCCATTTAGAAGTGGTATATTTTTCTTGTTTCAAGATTTTTGCAAAAGATCAATCATTTCAGTAACTCCCACAATGAAATAAGTAAATACTGGTTTATTATTAGGTAAAAATCAAAATGACTTTTAATAAGTGGTGTAAAAATAATGGAATTAGATTAGAATCTCTTCTAATGTTTTTAATCTTTTGGTCCCTCAGAATGGCAACTTCTATTCTGAAGAACAGAAATTCAAATGACTTAGTTCCAAAGTACAATTTCAAACACTAAAATTAGAATGATCTTTCAAGCATGATAAAAAAATGAAATAAAACTTAATAAAATTTTTAATTTTGTTCAGAATATCAAGGAAAAAGGTATTGAGGCTAAAACTCACAATTAAGTCTTTTTCAATCTCCTCATAAACTTTATCCAGAGCTTCATCCCGGTTGGTTAAGGCCATACTGGCAGCCATAAACTTTTTATTCCATTCTGTAAATTCCTTTTCTTCAATTTCCTTGTAGCAAAGGCACAGGGTTCTAAGAGTTTCACTTGCAAAGACCTGTTTTATTTAAAAGACAATCACCCATGCAAAGAATAGTTAAATACATTCTACAGGGAGGATTAAATTTCACTTTACAATAGACTTTGCTTTTCTAAGCATCCTCTCGGTCCTAGGCACATACTTCTAGTACCCAAATTAGTTAAAGGAAAAAATCTACCTTTCTTCTAAATCAAGTCACTGGAGTAAAGAAAACCTTTTCCACTTAAAACTAGGAAAATAACAGACAAAGGGAGCTGCCTTGGGGTGTAATGATGTTATAAACACAGAACTGACAGCTCGTTAAAGGAAAAAATCTACCTTTCTTCTAAATCAAGTCACTGGAGTAAAGAAAACCTTTTCCTCTTAAAACTAGGAAAATAACAGACAAAGGGAGCTGCCTTGGGGTGTAATGATGTTATAAACACAGAACTGATAGCTTTATAATTTATTCCTACAAACTGTTACAAGTCCAATCCAGTATTATTCCCTCAAACCAATTCTGAAATACATGAGCCACTGTTAAAGCTGAGAACATACATTTTACTAAAAAAGAGTGAAAATTTTCCCATGATGAACAAATTTAAACCATTTTAAATAGCTTCGTTGTGAGCCAATAAAGTCTTTCATTACTTCATAGTCACATCTCGTCTAGCCAAGATGACAGAACTGCTCCACCAACTGAGTGTTTGCTTTCAAAGATTCTTAGAAGGTTCTGCATTTATTTGATTAATCGTTGTTCACATCCTCATGAGAACTCATCCATTTTAACTGCATCAGCGTCAGTATATAATCTTAAATTGTGACCCCACTTAGTAACATATGCATCAAGCTTCTCTCTGAAGGATCTTTGGCTGGCTCTAAAACTCAACTGATCCTTAAAGTACAGGAAAGAAACCACCCTTCATTAAGTACCTACTAAGTACTGGGAACTATGCAAGATGTTTTCTCCTGCAATAACCCTCCATGGTAGGAAGTATACCCTCCCTCTTTCACACAGGGAGTTAATTATTTATATGATACATCAACCATTTTTCCCAAGGACACAAAGCTAGCAAAGAGGCAGAACTGGGAAATTAGGTCTGACTGATCTCCTCCATACTTCTCTGCTACTGTTATATAGAACCAAAACAATATGATGATTGGTAGGCAATTCCAAAAGTGCACGTTCCAGAAACTTTCTGAGTAGCCGCGACATCATTGGACTAAGTATATAACGTCCTAAGACAAGGACTTTAAAGTAATAAAGACTGAACAATTTTACAAAGGCGTCAGAATTCGAAGATCCAATACATCCCCCGTCATGTAGGAATGCTTTCTTTTCTTCGCTCTACACCTAGAAGTTGGTAGAGTGTGGGGGGCCACACAGACATTAAGACCACCACTTAGTATAGTTATGTAGCTTGCTTGAGGTCACTGGAAGAGAGACAAGCCATCCCCCAGTGTCAGTCCTACAGACCTGGACGTTGGGAAAGGGCACCATGGTCACTTTCCAGGAAGTCAGTTGTGGGACAGAACTGGACCCCAATGGCCATATTCCTACTCTGGTGCTCTTTCTACCCAACTATACTAAAGCAAGGGGAGGGTCAACAGTTAACAGACAGCTTTCACTGAAGCTTAAGACACACCACCAGAAAGTAAGATCAGAATCTCTATCCAAAAACAAATTTAAAAAAAAAAAAAAAAAGAATCTCTAGCCGAAAGAGTGAAAGGGAGACTTACATCCAGGGCATCCTGTGTCTCCTGCTTTGTAGGATTCATTCTATGTAACCGTTCGTAAATTACAGTGTCAGCACCTTTACAATAAAGCCTGATATTGCCTTCTGGGGTTCTTACTGGTAGCAAGGGAAGAAAAAGCACACAACAAAGTTAATTTTTTTTTTTTAAAGATGACTGGTAAGGGGATCTTAACCCTTGACTTGGTGTTGTCAGCACCATGCTCAGCCAGTGAGCCAACCGGCCATCCCTATATGGGATCCGAACCCGGGGCCTTGGTGTTATCAGCATAGCACTCTCCTGAGTGAGCCATGGGCTGGCCCTAAATTTGATTTCTTAAATGAAAATTACATTTATAAAGTTAATTTCAAGTGTCATTGTGCTCAGAATTCACTATTAGTTTAAAATCATCAATGCATGTAGGAAAGTGTTGCCCTTATCAAAGTGGGTAAGTCACTATCTGGAATGAATGTAACAGTGAAATAAATGTGAAAAGATTCCTTCAGGGTCAGCTGACTTTTAACAAATATACACTAACTCCCCACTGTGCACTACGCCCTGTGCTGGCTGCTTTCTTCCATAGAATTTTCTTTGTCCAGGCCAACCACAGGAATCTTTCTTACTGATACACTCATGATACTTACTGCCTTTAACACTCAGACCATAACTGCACTCCTTGTGACCATTTTCTTCTATCTTTTGAACTGTTTAATAATTTAATCGTAGTATGTGCCTTATCACTAACTAGATTTTAAGTTCTCCAAGGTAGATGTCAGGCAGGAGAATTAGTCTGGATTAATGTTAGGCTCACGGAAAGCACTCAGTAAGACGTGCCTAAGGAGAGTGCACTAGACAGTTACATCTGCATGTAGTCTTTGGTTAAAAAATCAATGTCATAGTGGAGAAGGCTTGTGGATACAACCTTAACCAAGTGATCAAAGTTAACATCACCTGGGGCTGGCTGGTTAGTTCAGTTGGTTAGAGCATGGTGCAAATAACACCAATGTCCAGGGTTGAATCCCTGTACTGGCCAGCCACCAAAAAAAAAAAAAAATCAGCATCACCAATAGTAAGACAGTCCAACATCATGTGCCTTCTGATGTGACACTTGAGGGGCACAGCATCACTTATGTATATACTTCCTGCTAACAATGTGTAACCTGAATCTGCTAGCAACGTGTAACCTGAATCTAAACATGAAGGAATGTTAGACAAATCCATAGAATGAAATAACTGGCTTATCTTTTCAAAAATGTCAATATATGAAAGATCAAAAAAGCAGATTGAAGAACTGTTCTTGATTCAGTCATGAGTACCTAAAACAATTTGCGATCTTGGATTGGATTCTGGATCAGAAAAACATAGAGAAAGAAAGAAGGAGATTTCTTGGAAAAATGTGAAAAAGTCTGTAGATTAGGTTATATTATTGTATCATGTTACATTTCCTAATTCTGGGGGGTGGAGGGAGGTAAGGAAGGTATTGGTAAAAGTTCACGAAAAATGACTACATGGTAGAATATTGAATATACTCATTATCCTGATTTGAGCATCACGTTTTGCACATAGGTACTGATATTCAACTCTGTACCCCACAGATATGAACATTTAACTGTTACAAAACAAAAAATTAAAAAATAAAAAATAAATAAAATAGTTAAAAAGTGTTTAGAAAGTTAAAAGATAAAAAAATTAAAAATAAATTGTGATTCTAATCATTGGTCTTGTTCTTAAAAAATGCCTGCTAACGTACTTAGGGGTAAAGTATTTAGATCTGCAGTTTACTCTCAAATGGTTCAGAAAATAACCTGTATATATAATAACCTTGACAAAGAAAATGTGGCAAATGTTGACAATTGGTGGATATGGAAGGGTACATATGAGTTCTTTAAACCATTCTTGCAACTTTTCTGTAAGTTTGAAATTATTTCACATTATGAACATAAAAAAATTCAGTATTAGGAAGCAATTATCATCTCTCCTTGGTGGTCTGTTATGCCCTTAGA